AATAATTTCATTGAATGATTTCTATCTTTTAGATAAGAAATGGCCAGAGCATTCAGATAGTATCCTACTCCACTAGCGCGTATTTTACTGAACACGGAACACTGAACGTTAAATAATCACCCCTTTAATCAGCCTTATCAAACAGCCTCATTTTAAATTGAACACGTGATTGGCACCATCCATCACTTTAAGACAGAAGAGTTGATTTTCAGGGCGATAAGACTTTGACTTGTCAGTAGAAAAAGACAAGATTTGAGCTCCCGCTGCGACACATTATGAGTTTTTTCAACTGATTTTTGTTATGGACATGTGTTTGTTCCTATGTATCTACTGTGATGTTATTTGACCAATGAAATATTTATAATTAATGAAATTGATACACTCGAACTGACCAGGTAGATCACAGCTATTAATTTGCCTTCACAATAACTTTCAATAACTTCATCAACTTCACTCAATCAAAACAACCTTCTTTTCTCAATATGAATAAATCTTCTTTCAATTTGAAAAGTAATGAGATCATTTGATCAGTTGTCTACACTAGTATATGATAATTGGGTCTAAATGACCCTGAATACAATAAAAGCTATTATATCAATTCAGCCAAAGCTTTCGGAAAACAGTTGTTTGTGAGTGTCTGAGAAGTATACCAAGAGTTTTATACTTTTTCGGAACATAAATTGGCGATGAGAATCCAGTTTGTGTTTTTCCTTTCTGCCTAATGTATTCAGGATGATATTCAAAATCACAGCCAATTAGTCAACGCCTGTGGACCTTATTCAACCAAATCACAGTGGCTAAACTAAGACTGAGACTTGTTGAACCAAGTCAGCGGGCCCCGATCTATAAACAACTATCAAAATAAAGTGATACTACGTCTTAAACTGAACATAATATTAAAGTTCTCAAGAATGGTCAATTTGAATATATATATATTCATCAGTGAACTTACCTGGTGCCATAAAGGTACAACAGAATCCCTGGAAAATTGGAAAATTCATAAAACTAAGTATTTATTGCAAAACGCTTAATATTAATATTAAGCGTTTTTCAATAGTTAATTGCATATTTACGGATAATGCCTAAGTTTTTGGGATTTATCGGATTATATAAGGATCTTGTTATGTTATTTATGACACCAGGTATATCTACTAATGAATATAATGCTCTTATTGGCCAAGTTTGAAATTCTTAAATTTTATGTTCATTCTAAGACGTAGTTTTCCTTTAAGTGATAGGATAATTTATGGATTTAAGGGAAGGTAACTCTTGTTTGTTATTTAATTAAGAATAATTGAAAGAGAAGTTTGAAATTTTACATCCCGAGCACAAATTCTGTTGGCATTTACACCCCTCATTGTAATATTTCAAAAACTGTAACGTTAAAGGAAGATTGTGTATAGATTGACATGTTCTCTTAAAGTAACTTTTATAATTGTCATGATATAAAGAAAAGTTTTTAAATGAAACAACTGTATATGTATATGCTTACTTGAAACGTCGTGTTGATTTTGTTTCCTAGCTTGCGCCACTATCGTTAAGTTGCTGTTGTCTGAAATGTGATTTGTAGTAATAATGCAATTACGACCATTTTATCTGTGGTTCGGGAATACAGAGCACAGACTCAATAGCATCAACTGTTCTTACAGTCATCGAGGAGATAGGAACTAGACCTACAGTGTCAATTCCGGATTTCAAGAAATATTATTTATCATGAAGATATGGGTCAAATAAATTCTGAAATAAGTATAGAGAAAATGATTCTTGATGGTATCTTGGAATTATTAATAAGTTTAATAACATTATCTGTATATCAGCAGACACTTGTCACAATAATATTATGGTAAACTGTGAGATGATGTGACCACGTTTAGAACCATTGACACAATGACAGTCAGATATATCTAGAATAATAGAATATAAGATTAGTCACCATAAACACTGATATCAGAAATGTTGGTTATCGTCAACGGACGCTTAAAAACTAATCAGACAAATGTGTGCTTTATAATTATAAATTTGTGCTTTGATCTTATAATGAACGGAAAAGCATGGCATCTTAAGCTTATTCCTTAGTATTCCTCTTAATAATCTTTTAGAAACATTTAGGGGTAAATTTTGAGTTCAATAACGGAACACACTTTTACGGTGACCAACTCCTTGATTTACTTAGAAGGTTGTAAATTCTAGAAATTTTAAAGAAAAAACAGGAGAAGTATAGGCCACCACAAATATCGATATCAATGCACTAATTGAAGATCTGGGAGATTCAAAGAAAGCCTGAGCACAATTAAATGTTCACCGAGGACCGAATATTTCAATCTTTTCCCGCTTTTTCTCCGCATCTGCATATTACCAAACCTAGAGGAACTTGGCGTAAGCTGCACACCAAAAGACGAAATTGAGTGGATAAGTGCACAGTTTGCAATACAATGAACAGTCGTTGATTAATTGGTACTTGATGGATGTAAGGAAAGAGTCATTATATCAAATTCAATCAAGTGATAAATCATGTGAATTTTCTTCCTACGAACAAAAGATGACTTCAGATTTGATTAGAACCGGAAATTGTATGAAATTTTACACATGCGCACTGCAATACAGAGGCAAAAGTCAATTTCAAGAGAAGTAGTAATGACAGAATTATGGTGGTCTAACAGGAAATTTATCAGTAGTCCGTTCTGCATCATTAGGTAACCTTCGACCCCTAGTCAGCGAAGTTAATATCAAGAAAGTATCTGACATTGGTCCAAGGAAAGATTGATCATCTAACAACACTCATGACTGTGTTCGTTTGCAGGAATCTGGAACGTAATGACAGTTGACCTGTTTATGATTATAAAACAATACTTATATCGCCAGACTGATAATTTTAAAGCAGCCTACATGATTTCAACAATGACACAAAACAAACAGGAGTTGATGGCTAGCTAGTTAAGAGTTGTCGAACCTGATTAGTTTCTTCTCACATGAGTTGAACATTTGATTGGATATTTATTGGTTGATTAGGCAAGGTGAATAACTCTACCTTCTTCTCCACTGAAAACGTCAAGAACATATTGACGGCTCCTTTAAATGGCATCATTCTTCAGATGCGTGCTGTTCTTTAAATCAGATGTCTTTATATTGTCTGGAGATTGACAGTAAAGAGAGGCACGATAAAATTAAGTATATGAGCAGCCTTGGCAGCTGTGATGTGGTGCTTGTTTTTTTTCGGAAGATCACAAAAATCAAGCAAGATAAACTGTTTATTACCAATTTTTGTGTGTATTAGATATGGTTGCACCGTTAAACGTAATATATCTCTCTGAGACCCCTCTGTATGTCAATTTAATGCCTGTTAAGATTTTCATTCTGTAGTGAATGCAATTTCACTCATTTATATATTGCTTGTTGCATAGTTTGATAATTGTACAGTTGGAGGAGGCTTTGGGGTGGGGGCTCGTGGGGTTGGTTCAACCGGTCCCTTTGATAGTTACGCAACTGACGAAGCCTAGGCACAATCGGTGTAGGTTCTGTCAAAAGGGAATAATCTGTCTCAAACGGCATGTCTATCACTGACCTCGTGTGCTACACATAAGAACGATTTGATCTTGCCTGTAGTCGTTTGTGATATTTTAGAAAAAGAGAAAGAAACCGAAAATAGGCGCACTTTTAATTCATAGCAAGAGAAGTTAAAATTATGAGTGAGATATCATCAGTTTTTATGGAAGTAAAGTATTAAAGTTATGATAGTAATATAAAGAAATAGGTTATTATATTGGTGTAATATGACTATAATGATGCCAATGATATCGCTCTACTGTGGTTTTATAACCAAGACGAGGATTTAGGCAATAATTGAAGGATACTACAACTTGGAGTTTTATAGCTTCTTTAATCCACGTAGAGCCAACGTCTAATAGCAACTGGCTTTTGATGTTTCCTTTTCCAATTAATGTTGATTTCTGGTAACAAAACCACGCAGTAAAAGCCATAAAGACAATCTAGAGAAAATCTTGACGCAAACAATATTCTTGTTATTTGTCTTGTGAAAGAGACGGAGTAGTAGTTTGTAGAATGAATTGTAGTCGCAGGTCAAAACGATGTCGTATGTAAGTGCCCAGAAATCTCTTAAATTTCCCTTGATAACCAATATATTGACAGCATGTAATACCACTATAGTAAATCTCTTAATCTCTCTTAGATTACCTTGTTACATTGTAATTGACCACTGATGAGCGGTAAGGCTTCATTCTATTTGATTGGCGCTATAATTCTTTAAGTACCGTTATTGATGAAACGTTAGACGTTAATAAAAGGATTTATTCTGAAGAAATCAACGTGTAATGATAAAATCGAATACAACATTTATTTCTTATGAGTAGAAAATTTCAAACTTTGATGGTTTCAATTGCATTTTTATATGATGTTTATTTTTACAGGATCCATTCTCTTGCTCAAATTCTAAATTGTCTTTTTTGTTTTTGCATCGTAAACCTGGTAGGTCTTGCACGTTATTCGAATAAGCGACCAAAGCATGGTTATGTTTCACACACTAATTCGATAGTCTTAGATTGATTGATTGATGTTGAAAAGAATTTTTGTGTTTTTGTAAAATTACACCACCACTTATATTTTGTGTCGGAGCATAAAAAAACTTAATTTCTTAGGCTAGGCTATGTTGGCTTCAAATCAAATGATTTCCAACAACGTTAACTGAATCACCTGAATGACTGCACCCACAGTCTGAAGATGTAAACAAATTTTAATACCTATGAGGCTGAACAAACTTTGATGAAATTGGAACCACTTGTCCCTCGTTAACTGGGTTATATTATTCATACTAAATACCAATTCTTATGATCCGTCCTGTTCGAAAATTATTCATGAGAGTTTGAGAATATTCGTTTACATCTTTGTACGTCAAGATACATTTCGGTAATTAGTCGCACAAAGAGTATCAAGACTAGTCTCCCTTTGTGTGGTCTCTAATGTTAAAGATAAATTTAGATAGTACATAAAAACAAACATGTGAAATAGAAAATACTTACTTTTCACACATTTGATCTGTTTTATTAGATTCAGCCCAAAAGAATTACTACAAAATGTCTTCCTGGAAGAAAGTCAGCAAAGCTAAAAGCAAGCAACATCGCGAGAGAAGCCAGGTAAGTGTTGAATTCATTGTTGAACCTTTCTTTGGAAAGAGCTTCATCTATCTAACTTATCTTGAAGCGTCATAGACTAGTTTTATGTTTTTATAAGCTATGTTTGTCTTTTTGTTAATTTGATTCATTATGAATCATTTACTAACTACCAAATAAGCATTAACTCATTGATATTAACCGAATGTGTTTTGTTTTTTCTTTTTAGCTTGAATCAAGAAAGTGGCTAGGGCCTTTAGAAAAGAAAAAAGATTACAAGAAAAGAGCACAGTAAGTAATGATATTGTAATTTTACTACAATAACTCAAAGGTCTGTGATGAATTGGAGCTTAACTTGTTGCTTAACTTGTTGCTTAATCTTTTACTTTCAGAGAACAACACAGAAAAGATGCAACCATTAAGTATTTACGACGTAAAGCTGAAAATCGTAATCCTGATGAATATTATTTTAACATGGTTAAAACAAGAAAAGTGGTGAGATAAGGCTATTAAGCCTGTTTAAATTACTGTTCACCTGTGCTATTGTATTCACTATTGGTTTCTTGCAAAACATTTTGATCATGAGTGTACTTCGTACAGTAAAATGCATATAATGCTGTGTATTTTATCTAGTAAATTAGGCATACTTGGACACATCATTCTCTAATTTTGCAAAATATGTTTGGTTTCTTCAATTGTCCTGTACATTTGGTTCTGTAATGTGTATAACCCTATCTATATATATATATAATGGTTCTGAAATAAGAAGCTCAATGTCTGTATTGTTAGTATATTTATTTGACAGGATGGACAGCACCAGGCCAAAGAAAGTGAAGAACCAGAATTTACAGACACCCAAGTTAAGATTATGGAATCACAAGATATAAATTATGTTAATTTGATGAGATCTAAAGAATTGAAGGTAAAATTAAAACAAATTGTACAAAAAAAACTTCTATTACACATATGGTCATATTTAAACTTGAATACATTCATGCTAATCAACTCAGCCCTCAGATTATAAATTTAATTGATACTCAGGGAAAATTGTTATTATAGAATATTTGTTAAGTGTATTTTTATTTATCCCTTTTTCAGAAAATTGAGAAATTAAAATCATCATTACATGTGATAGATAGCTCTCAAGAACCTCAGAATAAACATATTATATTTGTTGATAGTAAAAAAGAAGGTAATATTTCATTTTTGTAAGCTCGTTTAATTCTTACAAGTATACTGTAAGAATGAAAAGTGTTTGTTTAGCTTTAATCTGTAGTCATTAAAGGTAATTTAAAGCAGAAATTCATAGATATTTGTTTCGATTGGTTGAATGTGTTTAAATAATTTTTGTCTACTTGATATTTTTTGAAACAGCCTTTCAAATTCATATGATTTCCATATTCAAATCATAAATGTAAATTTGAGAAAAGAAATGATTTATATTCAAATCTGTATATATGATAATGTTTAAACTTTAATAGAGAATATTCCATTTTTGTGCTTATAGCAAAGAATTTTGATGCTGCCCAACATTTTGATACCCACCCATCATTAATGAAGAGAGTTTATAATAGACCAACATCTAAAATGTTAGCCCAACAAGATTTAGCAAAGAATATTGATGATAGATCACTGAATGTAAGTAGAAATTCATATTCATACAGGGAAGTGCAATAACAGGAGAGTCACTCACATTTTGTAAACCATAGCTAAAGGAAATTGCTTGCATGACACAGTATGCTTGCTTTCTATATCTGACTCACATGAAGCTATTATGTATATCTATCTGATGGTCTGTGACGAAACATGTTTAGTCTAATATCTGTCAATTATGATTACTTACTATATCCCTTCAAACTGATTTGTCACTCCAATAGTCAAATATATCAGATTTATTATTCATTAATTATGATGATTTATTCATAGAAAATGTCAGCCCAAAGAGAACAGCAATATAAAGAATTGTCAAAAAGAATTGGCAGAGAAAAGGAATTAAGAATTATCTCTGAGAAGATGGAAATTAGTCGACATTTATTAGTAAGTATTTAATTAGAACTATTTATTATTGGGCTTTGTAATGTCTGGTATTTTGACAAGAGACAAAGCTTGTGATATTTGTATGTCTACTGCATATAATCGGTCTGGTTACCATATTCATATTTATGTAAATGTTGTAAGATTATAGCTGGAAATGTTCATGGTATCAGATTATAGTTAAAGGGAAGTAAGTGCCTTTATCATTGTATTTCGGAAATCTACTGAAATATAGGAAATAAGGTTCTTTATCTTTAGCCTAAAAGGTCGCAAGCTGTATAATGCCATATAACCCCTCAGTTAGGCAATCACCAAGACTTAATACATTGTACCTTCCCTGAATTGTTTATTTGGCTTACAAGTGAGCACCTTGCATGTGGGATAAAGGCCAGCTACCTAGTGACCTCCAATGATCCGATATTCATTGAAACAAGATTGACAGTCCTTGTTTGTGAATTGTAGGATAAAAGTAGTAAAAGAAAGAAGATATCAGACGGAACTAAAGATCAAGCACCACAGTATCGCTGGTGTTTCCATAGAAAAAGATAATAAAGGTGTATTTAGATATGTAAATAAACAAATAACACTGTAGCTTGTGATTTTACATACAGAACAGTGAGTTCTAACTGTCTAGGTAAAGGACAGCCAGTACCGTCTTAATATATATACAGTGGCCAGTTAGAAATGTCTGAATACAGAACAGCTGGTAGAACTGTCAGAATACAGAACAGTCAGTACCATTTGTCTGGATACAGAACAACTAGTTTTCTAACATATATGTTAATCAGACAATTTCCCTATGAAATTGTATTTCTACTACTTTCCATGACTTTCTTCATCTATATGTAGCAATAAATAGAAACAGGCGATTGCCACAGCTATTGTTCAGTTACTTCAATTAGGTCCTACATTGATCTTACAAGACCTTATTGCTCGTTGCTCATCTTCACATTGGTCAAGATATTACGTCTGTATCTTATACCTTGACTGCAATGACCCACTGTTTTGTTTCATGGAAGTTGCTGTGAATGCAGCAATTTGATTTGATTGTATGCTAGTGAATAAGGCAATCTGAGCCCTCGACAGAAAAAACAAGCTGTATTATTGTTTAATGATTGTTTTTATTAGTTGTTAAAAGAAATTTTACAATTTACGAAGAAATTTAATGATAATATATTTGGTTGAATTAACAAGATCCATCTTTAACTTTCTCCAAGAATTTATTTTGTCTGAAAATGAGAAAAAATATATTTAGAATCAAGAAATGAGATATATTGCAATCTGCTGTTTATGCCAACTTTTAAACCTAGACTAATACCATTGAAAATTGCCTTTTCGTCTTTGGACCATATTCTATGATTTTACAATAGAATATCGCTAAAACTATCCATAGAACAGTTATCTAAAGATGAAGTAGCCGTCCATTTCTTTACTACTGTGAATGCTTTCATTCTACATATAAACATTGTCAATATTTAAAACAATAGTAATGTATGTAGTAAATCATTTAAATACTTACTTGCAGCTTTCATAATCCAAAAGACATTCGTTATCGTAAGTTTTATTATCAGTAGCACAGACTGGAGACATTATGAATGGACAGGCTCTTAAACAGCTGCATTCTCCATCTGTTGTTTTCTGACCTAACAAACTGTATCCTTGTTTAGCCATTCTGAAAAGAAAATATATTTATTTACCCCCTCTCTACTTTAATATAGTTCATAAACCCCATAAAGACGAAATTATTGGACAAAGAAAAAAAGTTTAAAACACTCGAATTTAAGGAAAGGCAGTCGCCGGTCAAGCATTCTCCCAAAACCTTTGAAGGTTCTTTACGGCAAGAGTGGGCAATATTCGGACGATGGCGATGCGGTAAGCAACATTGAAGGCGAGCTCAAATTAAAAATCATGCCAAACAATACATCTGTAAAAACTAGACTACCTACCGACAGGCATCAGCTTTCATTGTACATTCATTACCATAAGTCTTAGTGAACGTGGCACAAACTGGTCTCCAGTCCATTTGACATGCTCTCAAACATTCGTCAGGGGCCGCATAGACTGAAATAAACTTGTTACTTTATCACAACACATTGATCACACAATTATGTATTTAAAATGAAAAACAGAAGTGCAGAATTTTCCTTGGAAAATATCCAACATTGGCCACTATGTTGTACTTTTCAACTAATGTCCAACTGGACAGTGTCCCTGAAAAATTCAATGAGTGGGTGTTGCTGAATCTTATCATCTCACAAACCTTGTAATTTGGAGAAACATCCTTGCAGTATTGATATCATTCAAGAATTTGGTCAAGATTCATCTCACAGTGAGGTCAAAAATAATAGGAAAATAAACTCACCAGCAACAACAGCCAAAGCAAGTAAAGCAACGCAAGTCTTCATGGTGTAGGTATTAGGTTATCCGGTGGTTTCTTTAGAGCAGTAAAATATCTATCAATCTGTATCAATGATTTCAAATCAAACCTCGAGAGTTTATATACTGTATGTTGTTGTAAAAATTGTCCATTTCTAGTAGTTTCTTTTGATTTATTATAAGTAATCTGTACCACTCCTCTTGAATAACAATTTATAATGTGTACGTTATCATTAAAAATCTGAAGATAACCTTTGAAGTAAGAGAGGTGTTATTGAATTATAACTTTTGGCTAAGGTACCATTGAGATTGTAACAATGGTAAAGCAGTACGGATCGGTGTTTCGTAAAATTTGAAGTTTACAAGCTAATAGAAGGAGATAATGTGTATTTCTCGAGACGAAATTTTGTTGTAAGAGGTGCTTGGCTCTTTAAGGGACGCGAAGTGGTCATAAATATTGTTCTACTTATACTTGTAAAGAACAGGACATTTGTACGAGGTGTGCGTTTCCCAAGAAATTTGCTTTAAGGATGACTGTCTTTACTAATACGTGCGTTTATCTTATATCAATTTGAGTAATAAAGATTAAATTCAAAGGTTAACACGATGTACTTCGCTGCATGCAGAGAGGAATTGTTACAATATAAATTTTGAAAAGACTGAAATGCGTGATATCGAGCTCTATTTGATATCAGCTGGAACAGATTAGTGAGCCGCTCGCGGCATCTGACATACACGAATGCACCAACGATTGTTGCTATCAGTTGTTGTTTCTCTTTTTTCGTGCAAAATTGGATGTGATCGTCGACCCAAGCGGTCAGAATTATCCAATTATCAGCTGCTTGTAGTTAGTCAATCAATTTTTGATGGGGGCATACATTTCGCTCATATCTGCGATGGATTCAAGTTAATATGGACCGTTAGTTCACGCGAACCTTCTTTTCTGGTGCCGTAGATATCAGTGGCATTTTCCCCCCTAGAAAAATGGTTTTCACTCCCAATTGTACCCCCTATTTATCTTTGACAAATATAAAAATATGTGCCAGAATGCACCAAATCAATCGTATTTTTAGAGAATATTTTTAGGAGAACCCTCTCAGACGCTCCATGAGATTCTTGTGACTATGAATCTATGCCCGTGGAGGTTGCCGAATTTTGAATTCAGCGTATACAGTGCCACCCCCCCCCCCCCCTCCCACCCCCTCCATCGAATCGGTCTTCCCCCTATTTGTGCCCCCAGTCTCGGAAGGCAGACGCCGCCACTAACTGATATTACAACTGATCTACTTTAGTCCTTTATTATTGTAAAAATCTAAGTAAAACAAAATGAACAAATAAATAATAATATAATAATAATGACAACTCTTCAGACCTTGACTTCACATGTAACCATTTGAGGTATTTTTCCCGTTCGTGTTTGTAATTGTTACGACTGAATAACAAGTAATATTATCAATGAAAGGTTGTTCCATATAATATTCCGGATATTTTACACTATAACCGCGAGGTCAGTCATTTCTTGTGCATTGTAAATGACGTTCCCGACCACATCAAACATGGTTGAAAATCAGATCAAATCTCTCATATTTTCTCTTTAGTTTGCGGATGATATCGATGACGGTTGTAAATTTGAGTTTTCTGTTATCCCATTTGTTATAGTATCAGTTAATGTTTCTACTATTATATCTGTTTTATTGCCTGTAACGCCATCTCTTAAACATTCTGGTGTCATAGCCACTTTATTTTCTGTTTCACTGGCCGTTGTGCTTTCAGATATAATATCCGTTTCATTTTCTGTTGCACCACCAATTATCCTATTTATTACCCCACCCACTTTATTATCTATTGTTCTGTCTGTTATCCTAGCTGATACACTATCTGTTTCCCCATCATATTGATGTTTAACTTTATCAACTGGTATTCTCTGTAATGTGCTAAAATGTACATACCTGAAATAAAAAATGGCAAAGGCGTTGGAGATCATTTGGCGCATGGAATAAAACAATTAATTGCAAGATGACGCCACTGACACGTGATAGTTTTTCTGTTTTCAAAAGTCTTAAATAACGAAATTACGAAACCATTCTCAGAGTGATATCGTTATCAATTACTAAGCTGATCAAGTATATGACGATCCCTGATTTCGAATGTTGAACAATTGTCCCAACAATGCTAGGGACAAAGTGAAACGTTTTAACACAGGCAATAATATGCACAGTGCCTCTACCTACTTACAACATACAAGTAGTAAATTCGAGTACCAACCTTGTACTGGGATCTATAGAAAACTGTTTATAATCTTTAAATAATGATTTTACAGTACACTGTGGTAATATCTGATATAGCATCTCCCGTTCAGCTAGAACCTCTAATGGTTGATACTGCCCACTAAACCATTGTTTTATCATCCATATACTGTCAAATACACCTAGAAACCCTATTGCCGCGCCAGTTCCCGTCGGCCAAAAAGGCTGAAAAATATTAAATATAACTTTAATGAAAAACATGATAAATTTTGGATGGAATGAGCTTCCAATGTTATCAACTCTCAAAATGGGATAGACAACCTCACTTGAGGATCCGTCGGGGTGGGTTTGTCCCTTATTGCTAGAGCTATAAACTCTCCAAAAGGAGTGCCCAGTTGACAACCCCAGAAGTGTAGTTACAACGGGTGTTCCTTAGGGGTGGTCCTATTTTGCTATGATGCTAGCAACTCTCTCCACTGTTATTATTGCGAATCACTTAATAAACAAAGCTTTAGGGTTCAGACAGTGGCGGTTCCAGTCTTCTTTAAATACAAGACAGATGGACTTAATGGGTAACCTCTGTCGGGATTGAAATTCCAAATGAGGAAACGTCACAAGTTTCAGATCGAATCTTCAAGCATTATTCACCAGCACAATGAACAAGACAACGAAAATGTTAACTGAATTAAAAAAATACCTCAAGTAAACTGTCACCAACAATACTAGCCAACAACCGGTGACCCTTTCTCTCTACAAATCTACTGGCATACTGAGCGCTACATAAACATGTAAAATCAAACATAGCTACATCCTCTTTACTATCTTTATTGAGGGCGAACTCCAGATTTTTAATTTGATGACTTGTAGCTTTATCTGCTATTTCTCTAGCGAACGCTATTAAATTCTCTCGGTTCACATTGTCTTTGGATAATAATTCACTTGGACTACCATAATCCTATAACAAAAAAGAACAACTTAAAGAAAGGTTAAATGCAAATGTAAAACCTAAGAATAAGGTATTAATCAAAATATGGATCATAGTCTAGTTTCTTTCCTGTTCGTCTACTCTTTTCCATCTTTAACGTGCTTTGCCTGTTGGCTTTTCCATGTCAGCACCACTGACATGCATCACTAACATTTGGAAATCATACAGAAAAACCAAAAAGTATAGTCTCCACATATGCCAGGATTGAACCCTTGAACTTCAAGTTCACGAGCAATCGTCCAATCCATTAGGTCACCGCGGCCTCCGATCAAATGAATTCAAATAGAGCCTTACATTGCCCCAGAAGAAGACGGACAGAAACTGTATAAGAACACATACCTGTTTCAATACACCTTTAAGTAATAAACTTTCTTTCTTAGCAGTAAATACAAAATAATGTGTAGAGGCTTTATAATATACTATATTCTCTAGATCTGTATCAGTTTTTGATTTGATGTCTTTAAAGAATTGTTGATCATAGATATAAGACAACCCACAAATCTCGGGTACCATAGAATCAGACCGGGTTTTTCTGTTTATAAAGTTAGCTGTTATAGCTATGGCGAGTTTTCCACGAAATTCATTCCATTTAAAGCCTGAAACGAGTCAATTTAGAAAATTGGCACGCCTTTTTAAAATACTGCTAGTTGGAATCCAGACAATTCTCGAAAACTGCAAAATTTCTTCCTGTTTGGTACTGCATGTCACTAGTGTTCCGGAAAAAGTTGTTCAATTTGCTGAAAAAGAATTGTCTCAAGTAATTCCAAAAGATTTATTACAAGAACCTTACCTGAGAGACCATGCCGTTTACCATCAGCACCAATAACAGTATTAAACTGGTAGTTCGAGACTGAATGACTACTAGGTTCTACCAGACATCTCCAACCCATTCCTACAAATACATAGGCCTAAGTATACCATGTGGCATGTATATAACTTTTTTCATATATATGTGTAAAGCATATTTTGTTAACTGTGGTCATTGAATCAATGTTGTCATTAAGAGACACAAAAGAGGTTTTCTTAAGTGTCTTGCAGCTACTTAAAACTGATATTTGCACCATTAGATAATCTGGTCATTTGTTCTGAAATTACAGGAACTAAAGACGTCAGACGGGAAATGGGAACGATGGTACACTATAGATCAAAAAGTCATATTTGCAGCTATTTAAGCTAAAAGCTTACCTGAAGATTGATCGTCTGGTGGTTCAACTAAATCTTTATATTCTGCATCAATATGTATCTCTACACCCAATAATAGAGCAGTTTTCATCAAAACACACTGTAATTGACGTATACCTAGATACAGAGAAAAATATTCAAAATCATAGAGAAAAATAATTCCCAAATTACAAAAAAAAATCATCTATCATATATTTTACTTAACAAAGTAATTGTTTTTCAACTATTAACCATGGACGTTTGACTTCTGTCTGGTTTGGCACAAAATGATAGTAAAATGAAACGTTTGACGGTATCCCTTCCGTATATTATTACGTCCAAGGAACTGGTGTTGCCCGATTCGTCGGGCTACATGAGAAGAAAATCAAACATACTTACTGATATGATCTTTTCCACCAACACAAAAACCAGGAAAGAAATCTTTGGCACCAATACCTTTCAAGTCTTCTACTACATACGGCCATAACGCTAGAACGTTATTTCTCGTCGTTTCACTTCTCTTTTCTAACACTATACACTTACCACCTAGTAAAGCTATTTCTATTGCTGCTCGTAGTCCACAAGGTCCGCCACCAATTACTAATGCCTGGAAAATAATGGTGAAATTAAAAGCCCCTTTTCTGACCACCATCGTTGGATATGCGAGGCACAGATAGGTGCCTCGATATTTTTCTACACATGTATTCGACAATCGGACTTCTATGTTGGCAAATATCTGAGTCCAGTTTTGAAATTTGGTTTTACTTTTACGTCCAAAATTGCGTTAAATGCATTTTCCGACTTTCTGGATAAGGAAAGTACACTCTAAATTCCGCAAAGGGAATCCGAGGCGAAGAATATTACCTTTATGTCTTTGCCGACTTCGTCACTCTCATAAACATACTGGGCTCTCTTGACATCTAATTTAGCAAAAAATGCCTTAGCTCTCCATACGTTCAGTTTATTTTTGATATTGGAATAAAAGTTACAGTGATCATTGGGATCTACTTCTAAATATTTACACATGGCATCAAAACAGTCTTTTATCTGTTGAAAACTATCAGCTTTGTAAAAACTGTCAAATAATTTCGTGATGTCCCCATCTTCTTGTTCTCTAAACTTTAAGAAACTTTCATAAGGATTCTTTCTTTGTGAATGGAAAGCCATAGTTGGTGTCTAAAACTAAAAAAATTGAAATGTGTTTTCAACATTGAAGCTTTATTTTGCCCAAGAGAATAAAACAGCTAAGATTAAAGGCTACAGGTTGTAGATTTGATGAATGTATAACGTGGATGCCAATATAAGCGACATTGAGTAGTAACATAAGATTCCGAGTACATAGTTGGAGAAAATCCCACTTGGCGCAAGAGTTAATCACGTGACGCAATTTCACCAATGATCTTATCAGATGGCAATTTTGGCAGTCATCAAGATAAAGTCGCGCGAAATATAAGATGAAAACCATATTCTACTTAATATTATGACTGATATGCACATATTGGAGATTTGATGATTTTCAGGTACAGAGTGCTTGTAAGGGAATAGCTATCAGACGTCTGCTAACAGCCAGTCAGAGGCTATAGTAGCTGAGACAGCCTCAATACATCGTCATCGTATATTTTTGACTACATAAATTTCGAATGGCATATACATCAAACAAAACCATCATAATAGTTAGAATTTACACATACTTACCATATGTTTTAACTTGTATATGACTAGTTCTGTATAACAGAAATCCCTTCACTGTGGTAATGCAGACAATATTGGTGGAAATTGATGTATTTTCAATATATATAAAGAATGATATCTATGAATAGAATTTAGTCATACGACTGTTACAAAATTCATTAGTTCGAGAAGTCTCAAACCATATATGGAAAGCACTGATACAAGAACGAAATCCCTTATTAAGACCATATATGATATTAAAATACACGTTAATGTAGGTCAGGGGCAGATAATATTGATTCAATTCAAGTTTATATTGACATTCTATTGTATATCAACATTTCCTTATATGGATATTGACATTATTAAAAACTAATTGGATTGGTCCAATAATGACCTGACCTTTGACCCCTACCTGTTGAGGTAAATAGGTACGAGAAGACGACAGAAAGTAAAATAATCCGAACGGATATTCTACAAAACAGGAGTAAACTTTCAATAATTCAATTGGTATTTGATCGTGATGGATTAAGTATGGAACGAAAGTTATTTAGTTTAGCAATAGCAATTAAAGGGAAACAATCTAAAACAAATCGGCGTCAAACTACTATTAAATTTCCCAACAATTGGACTCGCCGGGTGTATTATTAAACCCCATGACAATAACTTGTCATTAAATCAAAATTTTTCATTTATAATTTCTTTTTTCCGTGAACAAAATAAAAATCAGTGGGAATAAAACTGTCTTTCTTTATTTGGTATTTTAACACACTTCTTTCACAATCACTTTCCTTAATGAGTTCATTTTTAACTAGTCTGTCTCATTGTTTAATATATCTATAATTCCCTTCAAATATACATTTATCTAGAGATATTTTCCCCAACTTTCACCTCTCATTCCATTACACGTATTCTTCAATCATTAGATAGTGATGTATGGCAGATTCCTTTAAAACAACTACAGATCCATTTATCTTCTTTTCCTATAATAAAACCATTTAGTTAGTTATTACTTTATACTCCATGAAATTATGTCTGAGTTTAAGCTCGATTTGTGTTCAAATATTGGTAAGTATGGCAATAACAGAATTTGACAGTAATATAGCTACAGGTCAGTCAGGCACACCTTCTAGAATAATCTCAAGCATAGTTCTGTCATCTTTGTATTTGTACATGACTAAATCTGTTTCTAAAAAGTTAATGTAGTATGGTCTACTTACCATGGAACCTTTTTCCTAGCTTTAGGTTGACTAGTTTTCTTTCTTTCTTTAGTTCTTGGATCAGGTGTCAATAAACCAGCTGAAAGAAACAACAATTTTACTGGTTATGTTATATGTCAGCAAACAGCAATATTTTTTGAACTCAGAATTTCTGCTGATTTAAATCAAATCTGAAGATCAAAATAACCCAAACAGCATTGCAGACCTGGACTTTTCATAGAAGCTTTATGATTCTAATGATAGAGTAAGAAACATGAATCTTTGCCAAATGTAATCTCAAGTGATATCTATTCAAAAATATAAATTACCTAATCTAAGTTTTCCAATGTCTTCATCAGATACAAAACTACACAGTGCCTTAGCCAAGGCTATTCTAATAGCACCAGCCTGTCCAGCTAGACCACCATCTTTTACTTGACAACTTATATCAACCTGACCAATTTTATCTACCACTTGTAATGGAAACAATAACTGGTTTCTAAAACAAAAATACATCCATGGATTGCACTTCACTGGTGTTTACAATTCATTGCTTGGTGTTTATAGGGTGAAAAAAAGCACGAGCCTATGTCATGATCTACAGTATATATATCTTGGCGCTGTTAAATTCATTTTTAAGAATAAATACTAAATAGTAAGAGCTAGAGTGCTAGAAAGGGAAGGGGGCATAAAAAGATGACAAAATTTCTTATCATTACACACTGTAGGTTGAAGAACCTAGCTTGTTATGCTACTCTGGAAATTTTGACAAGATCTGGGTTAAAAGGGAGGACTTGAACCAAATTTTAGTTATTGTCAAAATCAGATAATAAGAAAACTAAAATCATCTAAACTTAACATTTTAGAGAAACTGGCACTAAATATATAAAATATGCTTAGATGCCAGGAGAAGATCATGCCATAGAGCCAAACTAAAGGGCTAGCTCAGCTGCATATAATCAGAACTAATGAATGTTTTTTTCAATACTAACCGGTCTTGCATGGAAGAAAAATATGTTAAATCTTGACCATTAACTGAGATATCACCTTGACCTTGATCATATACTGTAACAGTAGCTCGTGATGATTTCCTTTTACCTGTAATACACAAAGCAGACTGGTTTAGATTTATATGAAATTGTAAGTTCATAACATGCCTGGTTTCCACCTGTCAGTGATCCAAATCAGGTCTGAAGTGAAAAAGGCAGACATAGTTAATCGAGAGATTGTGACACTCTATAAGACAATTACTGCACACTGTGTGGCATGGCTCATCTTTATCTTTTAACTAAACAATTTAAATGTATCTATAACAACAACACAGTATTACCATCAGCTCTTATATATTCTCTACCATTTTCATCTTTTTCTGGCTAGAAAATTGAAAGAGGAATTTAAAGAATTGCAGAGATAATAAATAGCTTTTGCAACTGCAAAGCTCATCAGCATAATGTTTTGAATACAAAAATGTTAATAATTTATTGTCAGTTGTTGTGAGTATGGCCTTCTGTCCAATGCATTGGTCTCACTTAGAAAAGACACCCAGGGACTAAACCTATAACATTAAAATATATCTACTACCTTATTAGACAAAATCAGTTGAGCTTAGGACAAGCAATAAGAACTTGTCAATAAATAAAAGCCAGTACTCTCTGAGTTACATGATTGTGTTTAATCTTACCGTTATTCTGTGCACAGCTTGTGAACCTAAATCTAATTTTTTAGAATATTTAACTATAAACTCTTCAGCTCTTCTTGCTAGTGGATGGGTTATCAATCTGTCCATTAATATACAGAAATTTAAATACTGAAATATAGATAAAACACTGTTAAAAAGTAGAGATAAATACCACTTCTAAAATTATTTTAAATGGCACCGTACTTAGGTCTATAGTATGAAATTGAGATATTCAGCTGGTAAAGCAAATATTTGATATAGGCTTCAGTTGACTTATAGGCTTTAATAATATAATAGGAAAGAAACATTTCCATAAAAATACCTCTTCCTAACATATGTGCTTTATATAAATTATACAATATAAATGAAAGTAAAACTTACATGTTGAGGGGAAATTGTTTCATTAGTTAAAGTCTCAAGGGCAGTTTTAGTTAATTTCTGAAATCTGGCTGGATTTCTAAACAAATAAATAAACAGAGGTAATTATAATGTATTTTGACAATGGCATTAAATCAACATCCAGGGCTAAGAGGTCTAAAATATCTATAAGAATAAATTGCAATAAATAAATGCCAGGATTAAAACTTACAACTTTTTCTCTGTTACCTTTCCTCTCTCTGTCATTTCTACTTCAGTTAACTCTGTATGTTTGGCAGAAATATTCTATAAAAACATAAATATTCCTAACAGTTAAGATCAACAATAGCAAGATATCATTTCAGAATCCAAAAATTGAGGGGTTCCTCCAAAATCCACGACTAATATTTTTGTTGACAAGAAGAAGGATAGAAGAATCAGCTGCACTATATTGAGCTAGATTCAGTTTTAAGAGAAAAATTATAAGGATGATCATATATAACTTACATGTAAAATTTCAAAGAACTGAGGTTTGCCTGTATAAAACAAATAATGATGTGGTCTACCATCCATTCCAAACTGGGAAGCTGAAATTCCATTGCAAAATTCATCATATGATCAATTTGAAAAAAAAAAACTTTTTACTTCATGATCATAGAACAGTTCAATATTGCAAATTTTGAGAAATTTAAAGACTCGATAACCTTTAAAATTATAGATTGATTTTGTTTGCCAAGCACATTGAATGGTAGACAACTGCATTCAAGGATTTGAATGACCTGTAAGAACCATATAATTATATAATATTCTAAAAATGGCTCACCTCTCCTTGCAGGAAATATCTCATAGGGATGCTGAAAACAAAGACATCAAATAAAATGATATAGTGAGAACATCATGAATGATTCAGTGAAACTTATTTATAGTTCAGTTAATATCATACACTTGCTGAAATATCATACAATGAAATCATGTATATATATGTATAGGCATGAATAGTATGATTATGACATTATATAATGACAAAACAAAAAGCTTACCTTAAAAATTGGTCTGGCTTTCTTATCAAATAAACCTGAAGGAAGTAAGTAGGCTATTGCTTTCTGTAAACAAAATAAAAAATATACAAACAAGAAACAATGAGATGATTTCCATTATATAGTAGAGCTCATATCTATAACATGGTTTTGACAGGTACCCAGCATGAAATGTTATTTCACAGTACAAAACTTTAAAGGTTGGAGACTTACATCAACATCTGCCTGTGTAAAATTATCTGGATCTTCCCCCATAATATTAGCCAAATGTCTTTTACCAAGTTCATATTCTTCTATTTCATTCTGCATAAAGTCATCTATTTCAAACAAACAACATTATGAATGACTATAAGATACCATATGTGGGTAAAAGGCTTTATAAGAGATATTTTCTTATAGAAGATAAAAATAAAACCAACACAATTATCATATTACAAGGGCATTTAATACCCATCAAATGATCGGAAATATCTCTCGGTTGTGAGCAATCATTCAATTAATCACCCTTTTTCACCCTTCAGGTTTGTAAGTATAGACGTAATCATATACATATTAATTAGTCAAGCTATCATTAAAAAAGTGAAATCAAATTGATCCTAATTTAATCGTGTAATTTTATTGTCTCCTCTTGATCAGAACTCTTTTATAATGAAGGTAGGTCTTGTATATGAAAACACTTTGCCAATCATATTTTTGTCAAAGACTCGACTCAGAAAATTATGTTGACAAGTTCACATGAAGACGAATTGACTGGTACTCAAGTAAATTAATCATATATAAGTAAAAAAAAGTTTTAATTAAAAATTATCAAATAAGGCTAATGATACTAACTATATGCTTTTGCTCTTTCCATATAACTCTTCATTGCTTTGCTGATCTTTTCTGCTTTAACTGGCTTGTTTTCCACATCCCCAGACCATACTTGACTACACGTGTAGAAACCCTTCTAGAACAAAAAAAACAATATCAAGAAATTAAGATAGTAATATATTTTGTGGGACTAATTTGGCCATGTCAGTCCTATGATTGTGAAAGGCCAATTGATTATATAGGCTAACTGACCAATCCATTATTGCATGAGCAAACTGGACACAGAAATTCAAAAAGAGCAACATTAACAGATAACTAGAATGGCGGAATATCAGAACAATGTCAGCTCCTGGATCATATGTGATCAACATCATGAAATTAAAAAAAAGGGGGAGAACCACTGTCAGTTTGGAAAACATGATCGGTTGGAGTTTGTAAATTACAGACACAAAGAACAGTTTCTGCGATATAATATATTGTAATAGACCCGTCAGGAATTATTACAACCATGACCATAAGAAAAAAACATACTCTGCTACATAAAAATACATGACTATCCTTCAAATTGGCACTCAAAGATCGTGCCACACAATGTTTTATGCAAAGGTGTCGAATTCGGCCTAAGGAGGCAGCCATTTTGAAAGGAGTACTTCTTAATGTCATGATGCTAATAATTAAATCTCAATAATTTCCTTTTTTGAAAAACAATTCCCCCTATTTTTCGTTTTGAATAGATATAATTACATAATAAAGATCATTAATTTCAATATTACATGTATATATAATATACAAAACTTAATTTCGAACAAAATAACAAAACCCTCCAATGGACTGTCTAAGCACCTCAATGTATCCTAACGAATCATAAAATAAGATATAACCCCAGAGCAATGTTTAAAGCTCTATAGCACACTAATTATTAAGGCATGTAATAGACCTAATAATTAATTAAGCATGCTTAAACTGTGAATCTGACTATGGCTTTGACAGACTTTGCTATGTTGAATTTTTATTTGTAACAATCTTATTTCAAATCACTGTTCGTTTCCCCCAGTCAGTGAGGGGCTGACTTGGAAAAAGCGTCTAGTCGTTCATGGGACAATAAACCGCGGCTCCGTGTGCTACAGGCTGTGCACGTTAAAGATCCCTCGACAGTTGGAAAAGAGCAGGCTAATGCAGCTGTCCTGACAAAATTTCCCTCATCGCACTCTGCATGGCGTTGCCCGTCTTCATTATCCTACATGGTGCAGAAAAGTAGGGCGTAAAACTCTATTCATTTCATTTTCATTTTAAAATCACTGTTCGAAGCCATTGACTCACAGACTTGCTCCATGGCAAAATTATGATAACTAAGGTCTCTTTCATTTGACTGATAGGGCCTCGGTATTTGTTTAGTGTGGTAGTCTTTGAAAAATTACAATTTTCTGAAGCCAAATTAAACTGAACATGTTTGTAGTTATTTCCCTTTAATATCACAAGAGCTTTACCTATAGTGTGCCAATATTATACACAGTAGGCCTATACGTAAAAAATTAAACAATTTGAAATTATATGTAATAAATAAAAAGGGTATAGATACTCTCCTACAGAAACACCGACCGGGGTGAGTCGAGTGAGCGAGTGAGTCCAGGGCATTCAGCAAATATAATTTAAATAGAATATATTATACTGAAGAAAAACAAAATATTTAGATAAATGGAGTTGATGAAGGGTATCAAATTTACCACGGACAAGCACATCACTGATATTTATGTATCTGGTTAACTTTTTGGGAAATTGTTCAAAAGTTCTTTTTAATGCATGATATGAAGACCGTTAGTTAGGTACAAAAATGTTTGTAAATAATCTATCTGGAAACATTTGCAACTGCTTGGTTTTGAGTATGTATGGTGAGGTAATTTGATATAAAATGAAAACTGTCATTTATGGATGTGAATATTTCTTGCATTAAAGATTTAAAAGTTTGAATTCTAAATAGAAAAGTTCCTCCACTTGATAGATTAAACGATGCCTGACATTTCCCAGTCATAATATCATCTATCAATCGTACTGACTTGTAATACACGTTTGAAAAATATAAGATACTGGATGGATCAAACCAATTAAGCTTGTCAATTTAAATTTTGAAGTCGTCGTCAATGAACATGAGCAAATCTTTCTCCAGAATCATTCTGCATGATTGTAATGATTTACAGCTTTTTCATTCGCCGAATGGATCTAAATAGATTCAAGTTTAATGATCGGGTATAATGGTGTAAATTTTTTAAAAGGGTTAAAAAGTGTTATAACATCCAAAAACTAAACTTATTTAATGCAAGTTTGCTTTTTGTCGATATTTTTCATGTGAATTACATTAAGTGACAAGTTTAGTGTATTTTACATTCTTCACCTAAAAATTTCCATTGACTGGTTTATAAACTTGATGTAAGTTGTAAATCAAAGAAAAATGTCAAAAAAAGTAAGACGATAAAAGTAATGGCAACTCTGAGGAGTGGGGCCTCAGCTTATATGCTAAGACGAAATGGATCTAGATCTGCAAACATTTGCTATACAAAAAACACGAGACCATTAACTGTAAAATAGCCCCATTTTGTATCATACTCAAACTCCAATGTCAGTGAGGTCCACAATTATAAAAAAAAAACTATAGATATAATCAGAAATGAAATGAAATGAAGTTCTACATTTATAGTCAATCTGACCAT